GAAGTTTTCTCCGGAGCTGTCATCCACCCTTTCAAAACTATTTAACAAGTGCTTATCAGAGTCTTATTTTCCAGCCTGCTGGAAAGCAGCATCTGTTATCCCTATTTTTAAAAATTCTGGAGAGCGATCTGATTTGTCTAACTACCGTCCTATTAGTCTTCTTACTATCATAAGCAAGGTTTTTGAATCTTTAATTAACAAACACTTAATCTCTCATCTCGAATCTCATAACCTACTTTCTGATCATCAATATGGATTTCGATTTTCTCGTTCTACAGCTGATTTGCTAACAGTAATAACCGATAGGTTTTATCGCGCATTAGATAAAGATGGAGAGGTTAAGGCCATCGCTCTTGACATTTCTAAGGCGTTTGATAAAGTTTGGCATGCTGGTCTTCTCCATAAGCTTTCTTCTTACGGTGTATCTGGAAACATCTTTAAGATTATCGAATCCTTCCTTTCCAATCGTAGTATAAAAGTTGTCCTTAAAGGACAGCACTCTTCTTCTTATTCTGTAACCTCAGGGGTTCCTCAAGGTTCAATCCTTGGCCCTATACTCTTTTTAATTTACATTAGCGATCTTTCAGATTTTCTCACATCTAAGGTGGCATTGTTCGCTGATGATACTACCATTTATTCTTGTTACGATAAGAAGCCAACTCCCTCTGATTGCTTGCAGGGGGCATATGAGCTTGTTAAGGGTCTCACTTCTGCTACAGCATGGAGCTCACTGTAGCTGGTGAACTTTAATTCAGATAAAACTCAATTTTTTTCAGCCAATCGTTATTGCAATAATTTAGACCTTCCTATATTTATAAACGGTAATATACTCGATGAGTCTCCTACCCTTCATCTTCTAGGATTAACTCTTACTTCTGATCTTTCTTGGAAACCTTATATCAAATCCGTTGCAACATTAGTGTCTGCTAAAGTCACTTCTCTTTATCGAGCTCGTCACTTTCTTACTCTGGATTGTATTCTCTATCTCTATAAATCTCAAATCCGGCCTTGTATGGAATACTTTTACCATATCTGGGGTGGATCTTCTAATGATGCCCTTTCTCTTTTAGACAAGGTGCATAAACGCATTGTAAACATAGTTGGACCTACTCTTGCAGCCAACCTTCAACCTCTGTCACATCGTCGTAATGTTGCTTCTCTTTCTCTTTTCTACAAATACTATAATGGGCACTGCTCTAAAGAGCTAGCGTCTCTTGTGCCATCTACAAAAATTCATTCTCGTGTTACTCGTCATTCAACTAAGTCTCATCCTTTTTCTGTTACTGTTCCTAAGTGCTTTAAAAACTTTTATTCGTCTAGTTTTTTTCCTCGAACATCAGTTCTTTGGAATTCGCTTCCTTCATCTTGCTTTCCTGATTAATATAATTTGCAATCTTTTAAGTCGTCTGTCAATCGTTATCTTGCTCTACAATCTTCATCTATTCTCTTCCAGTAACTTCCAACACTAATTAGTGTTGGAAGCTAAGATGTTAAAAAAAAAAAAAAAAAAAAAAAAGCAATGGTGTTCAAATACTCCAAGATTGAATTATCCGAGTTTGCTTTTATAAGATCTAAATTAAAATCACCAATTACAAAGTTAGTTTTATTTTTTTCAACAGCAAGTTTTTCAAATAGAATAGCTAGATATGAAACATTGAATTCATTAATATCCATGTTAGGATGGCGATAAACACAGCCTACTATGATATTAGACTTTTTAGGGAAAATAATTTCAACAAACACAGACTTTAAGAACTGGGGTATATATTTAAGTAAATCATTTCTAGTTTTGTAAATGAGTTTATTAGAAATATAAAGTAGAGCATCTCCTAATGAAGTTTTTGTTGGAGTATGTTTATAAACATATCTACCAAGATATGTTTATAAAGTAAAATGTGTTTTTAAGTTTACGAAGTGAAAGTTCGTTGTGACGTTTCGTGAAACCCTTTAACCGCTCTATACCAGCTGATTTATTTTCTCTCCATATAACCGGACTAAGTTTTATAGCATATTGAAATACTAATTCCTTTGCTTGTATTCATGTCAAACCATAATAGATTTTAGAGCTTTTCATAAGGTAGTCTTTCAACATCTTCTACTCATATTTATTGAATACTTGTGAAAAAGTATACTAAGTTTTGAACCCTTGGTCACACTTGGTCTTGGATAATAAATATTGTTTATATTTCTTGATTTGGTAATGTAAAGTATTACGTTTTATATTATAAATGTTGGCAATTTAGTTCTGCTTCTTAAACCAATTTACAACTTGGAGAACAGGATTGTTAATATCTTTCTCTTTAATTTTTGTTTCTCTCTTTTTCTTATAGTTTCGAACCTTTTTTATCCTTTTAATCATCTGAATATAAGTCGTAATAATGAAATTTTATTAGTGCCAAAAATTTGAAAAAATTATTCAAAAGTGCTTCATTCGTAAAGTTCAAAACTGCCCTGACAGCGTCATTAATAATAAATATGATTTTTCCAATCGAGGCAAGCTCAATTTTTGATATTTTCTGCGAAATTGTAAAGGTTATGATATCTAATAAATAAAATTAAGCTTGTTACTTGCTATAAACGAAGTTAGAAAACTCTTACAACTTTATACCAAAATATCAACGATTTGTCTTCCAAAACAAACCAATTATATAGATCGTCCAATTTGTATCAAATTTCAGGCAAGACAACTGACAGTTAAGGGCGTGCATATTATTTTCAGTTCATTTTTTCAAAGCTGATCCTTTTCAAAACCGCCCCTTCTCCCATCTCTTGTGAGTCGAGATTTGAAAGACTAAAATTTAATACCTCAGACTCTGGAGTACTCAGTGGCGTTCTGAGGTGGGAGCGTAGGAGGATGTATATAGTCCCTCTACTAAATACTAAATTTACTAGTCGGCATATTGAACACTGGAGTTGGCAAAATCGGATCTATAGTTGACATTAGTCAAATGGAAGGTAACAAGGCCATTTTTTATTTTTATTTTTTTTATTTTTATTTTTTAGATTATAGTCGGCAAAAAAACTTTTTTTGGCGCCTTAGTCGACAAATAGCAGATACTTCACCCTCCCTCCCCTTTTTTAAAATCTCTTAAGAGGCACGTGCCCCCCCCCCCTACTTTTTTTCAAAAGAATCTCGTTTTTTTTAAAGAAAATTCTATATATAGAAAACTTTTTTTTTATAAATTGATGATTGTGCCCCTACCACCACCACCACCACTTCGAAACCCATATCGTTGGCCCTGGCCAGGATGTACTAAACTAAAATTTAGTTTAAACTTCAGTGACAATCCTAAAACCAAATCCATCGTTCTCACACCAAGCAAAACAATATGTAATGCATATCTTATTTACAAAGTAAAATTTAAATTTTAAATTTGTATTTTTTCAATATTTATATATACTTATATTACGAATTCCGTATTTACTCACATTAAAAAAAAAAAGTTTTTGTCACAACACAATACTGCTCAATTAACGTTCTTTAGAAAGATTTAAGACAAGATTTTGAATACTAAATAAAGAGCAGCCCGGAAAAGTGATCGTAAATATATAAAAGTTATTTTTAATAACTAGTATTGGAAGGTGAGTCTGTGTTTTATTTCAAAGTCAAAATCTTACTTAGGATCATTCTAAATACACTGATCTCAAAATAATAACTGGATAGCGTATTCTATTGTTTTTCGTAAAAAAAGTTGAAGCCAATTTTGGCCTACCAAGATGGCGTCGGTTAGAACCAATGATATATATTAACTAGATGTCTAACTTCCGAAAAAAAGTGAAGCACATTTTTTTTGCCAACCAGCATATGATTGGCTAATAAATTGTTTTGCCAACCAGCATCTGATTGGTTAACAAATATTACGGAAAGACAAAGAGCAAAAACAAAATCCAAACAAAAAATATTTGTGTCAGTTAAATCAGAAAATGGGTTTAAAAGTTAGTCAGGTTGGAATGATATTGTGAGATGCTTTAGTATTGGATAATTTTATAAGTGTAGGTTAAAAGTAACGTCAGTTACTTTTAACTTTCTATTATAAAAAATAACTGCTAAGCTAGTAATTTTAGTTTAAAGTAAAAAGACTTTGAACCTTCGGAAAATATTTTAAGTATATAATTTTTAAAAGTTAACATCTTAGATAAGTTTTTATATAGTTAATTAAGTTAAAATATCTGTTATAGTATGTAAACTTATCCTATATATTTCTTTATAATAAAATACAATATTTCTAAGGGTTATATATACCCTCGTTATTCAAGTAATATTACTTGAATAACGAGGGTATATATAACCCTTAGAAATATTGTATTTTATTATAAAGAAATATATAGGATAAGTTTACATACTATTTTAACTTAATTAATTTTAAGTATATATATTTTGAATATTTACATTTTTAAACTGAGACATTTATTTAGACTTGCTCCAGATTATATCATATATAATATAATGTATATATATATATATTATATATAATATATATATATATATATATATATATATATATATATATATATATATATATATATATATATATAAATATATATATATATATATATATATATATATATATATAATATATATATATATATATATATAATATATATATATATATATATATATATATATAATATATGTATATATATATATATATATATATATATATATATATATATATATATATATATATATATATATGTATATATATATATATATGTATATATATATATATATATATATATATATATATATATATATATATATATATATATATATATATAAATATATATATATATATATATTATATATATATATATATATATATATATATATATATATATATATATATATATATATATATATATATATATATATTCAAATGATATTATATATGATAAAGTCTGGGATAATGTGTTTGAGTGTGTGTATGTATTTATAAAACATAAAAGATATATTTTTGAAAACAATACTTTTTATTTTTTTAGAGTAACAAATAATAAACATGGTTATTAATTGTTCAGTTTACAACTGTAAAAGCAGATTTGATAAAAGTAGTTTAATTTCTTTTCACAGATTCCCTTTAAATGATGAAATTTTATGTAAAAAATGGGCAACAGCAACTAAATGTTTACAAATTACACCTAGTAAACATAGTAGAATCTGCAGTAAACATTTTAAATTAGAAGATTTTGAGTGTCAAGAGAATGGGAAACGTGTGCTGAAAAAAAATATTGTGCCTTCAATATTTGACTTTCATGAATCATTGAACAAAAATAACAAGCGAAATCAGCTATATAATGATGATACATCACACATTAAAAAAACAATTTGTTCTATCTCGAATAAAGAGGTAACAGAGCTTGATATTACAAATACTATTAAGGAAAAAATACTTAAACAAAATTCTCCAAAAAAACTATTACTTAGAAAAAAGATTAAAATATTAAAACAAAAGCTTAAACGAAAAGATAAAAAAATTGCTTCACTTAGCAAAGTTATTCAAAACTTGGAGAAAAAAAAAATTATTTCCATTGATGTTGCTGAATTACTTGAGAACAACTTCTCTGGACTGACTAAAGAACTTTTGAAATCTGAATTAAAAAATAGAGGCAAAAAAAAAAAAGGTTATAGATACTCTGAAGAAGTTAAAAAATTTGCTTTAACACTGCACTTTTATTCTCCAAGAGCATATGAATTTGTTAAATCTACATTCTCATTACCTGCCGTAAGCTCACTTTCAAACTGGACCTCATCTGTAGATTGTTTGCCTGGGTTTTTTGGAAATGTTTTCAAGTTTTTATAAAATAAGACATTTAAGGATTCATCATACAAAGATTGCGCATTAATATTTGATTCTATGCATATCAGGGCTGCTCTGCGGTATGATAATGTTACTGGATCATATGAAGGTTTTTCTAGTTTTGGAAACAATATTCTAGCCTATGACCCAGATAAATTAGCAACAGAAGCACTTATTTTTATGGTTGTTGGATTGAAAGGCCATTGAAAATGTCCTATAGGCTATATATTGTGTGATAAAATTTCCTCAACAGATTTAAGTTGTCTAATTAAAAATGCTTTACATTTATGCGCTACTCATAATCTGAATGTTTGGAGTATAACATGTGATGGACTTATTTCCAACTTTAGTGCAATGAAGAATCTTGGGTGTTCATTCGGAAGTAAAATTAAAGAGATGTGTGGTAGTTTTCCCCATCCTGAATATGATCATCCTATATATTATATCCCTGATCCTTGTCATATGCTTAAATTAGCTCGAAATGCTCTGTGTAGTATTGGTATCTTTGTTGATGAACAAAATCAATATATAAAGTGGGACCATATTAAAGCATTGCATAAACTGCAAGAAGAAGAAGGATTTAAGTTTGCAAATAAACTTGGCAATTACCACATTGACTTTCGCAGACATAAAATGAATGTTAAAATTGCAGCTCAAACGCTAAGTGGTTCAGTTGCTGATGCTATAGAGTTTTTGATGGTCTCAGGTCATCCAACTTTTATTGATGCCCAAGGCACAATTAATTTTATTAGAACTTTAGATAAATTATTCGACTTGTTAAACTCTAAAAACCTTTTTGAAAAAGGATCTAAAAAACCTTTGTTTTTGAATGAAGCTCCAAAATGGATAGAAACCATAGAAAAATCTGTAAATTACTTAGTTAACTTATCAGACCTATCTAAAACTTCTTTAATTAAACACAGAAGAAAGACATTTGTACTTGGTTTCATTGTAGCAGCCACAAGTGTTAGAGATTTATCCCTTAACCATTTATCTAGACATGAGAATCCTTTTGAATTTATTTTAACATATAAACTGTCACAAGATCATGTTGAATTATTATTTGCTTGTATTCGAGGCAAAAATGGTTTCAATAACAATCCAGATGCACGTCAGTTAAAATCTGCTTTAAAAAGAATTTTATTAAGAAACTCTATCATAGGATCAAAATTTAGCAACTGCCTTACTTTTGACCAAAAATCTTCTGGCTCAATCTTTTTATTAAAGTGGAGTAAAAGGAGATCTCCTCTTGTTGAGCAAAATATAATATCTAGTGAGGATTCTAACTATTTTAAAGACCTTGCTGGTTGTCTTTCATCAGTCTCTACTTCAATTTATAAAGAAGCTATACTTGGATATATTGCAGGGTTCATTGTAAGAAAACTTTATAGTAAAATTACATGTCTGACTTGTGCCAATAGTTTAATTTCTCCGAAGACTTTATCCACTGATCATGAGTATTCTATATTTTGCAGTTCATCGTGGAAAAGTTTTACAACTTTTAAAAATCGAGGTGGTTTAATCTTTCCATCCTGTAGTGTTTTAAAGATTGTTGAAAAATGTGAGCACGTTTTTAAAGTTTTGGTGTGTGGGGCAGACCCCCATAATTTAAAAATATCTTCTAAAAAAAATCTTAAAACCTATCTGGTGCACTTTATAAATCAAAAACTTGCAAATGACGCACTGTTTACTGAACTAAATA